CATTGTTTGATGTAGGTTAAAAATACATAATGTCGTTTGTGTCTGATCTGTTATAATTAGTACTAAATATTATTTACCTTTTAGGCTGCAATAAATATAACTCAATTCATTTTCCTATTTAAATGTGACAATTGTAAAGCATAATTTTAGGCGATGATAGTTTTTGTAACGCCAAGGGTTAACATCCTCTATGACGACTTATTTGACTTACAAATAATGAAATTGACGAATGTAAATTCCGTTTGAATGTGGGATATAAAATGTAAATAAATGAAAACCATTGGGGGAAAAAACACTAAAAAAATACTTCTTTATTTCAATAAATTAATCATGATTTAGAAAATAAATTCATATAATGCCTATTATAACATTAACATTTATAGGATAAATGCGATTTTACAAAATTATAACAAATGAAAATTTAAGGGTGGAATCAAACAATTTTTTTGTTATAATTTCGCTATATTCGTATATGTTCGCATATATATAAGATATTTGTATTAAAGATATGTCCTAAACTTTGGAACCTGGAAAAGTGTTCGCCACAAATTAATGTTCGTTGTAACGTTACTCGACTGTAATTTTTTTATCATGTTAGACAATTTAATTAACGACTTATTACATTTTATATATTTGATAATTATATAAAATTTAATTGTTCTGCATTTTATGACCGGCAATTCAATATTATTGCATACTAGCGGGCCTGGCAAACGTTGTCTTGCCTAGCAATATTGTTGATGTATAATTTTTGAAATTTTAGATTATTTTGTATGCCCCACACCATAAGGTGGAGTGTACAGATCTTTGTAATACCTTGGTATTTATCAGAGCACACATAAAGAGACATTACAGTACTGAATGTCTACAATTTGATGTTTATGAGCGTGTCTTGTTGCTATTTCTGCATTCTACAGTTTCGGTGGATATATATTTATTAACATTTGAACACGTGGAAAAACTTTAAATTTAATAAATTTATATGCACATATAACTTATTTACAATGCATGGAATAAGAAATCAATTTTGATGTTTTGAAATAATAAAATATTGTCAGTATAAAAAAAAATGTAAAAGGTTTTGTAGGAGCTCCTCTAATAATTCTAACACCGGTATTGCAATATTCAATGATGGTTAATTGTTGTTTAAGATGATCACCATTATCGATGACAAATTTTACCGATTCAGATATGTATTTTCCCAATTCCACAATGGAACTCCAATAACCCCCTGTTTGCACCGTGTACGAATTGAGTATAGAAGAGTAGATATGAACCGATTTAATGTAAATTATGCACGAACTAACCAACGCACAGCTAAGTGTTGTTGAAATCGGTTAGGATTTAAATATAGCTTTAATATCCAATTTCTTTCAATTTCTCGTCAATTTTGGACATACAATCAAAATCAGTAGAGCTTGGCTAAAATCGGTATATATATTTACATACGTCTATGGTCAGTTCGTTCAAATTTTGTCTTTTTTTACTGATTGTAAATTTTTCAATAAAATTTGAATTTATTTACTCATTTTTTTATTGTATTGTAATTTCTTAAAATCCCTTTGTTCCACTTAACAAAAAACACAATTTTGGTCTAATTTAAGACCAATACAATATTGGAATATCTAAATAAAGCCAACCAATTATTACAAGTGTTTTTGTGTTACATTTCCTACTTGCACTTCATACAAAAAATACCGATTGCCTATATTATTGAAACTGATGAAATGTTTTGTGTACATACATCTTGTGGTTTCTATTTTTGAGAATTTTTTGTACATTCCTTTTGTTAAAGAAAATTATGTAAAGGATATGTTTGTTTGAAGTGATAGAGCTTTTCGTCAACTTTTTGGATTACACGGAAATATAAATCAACTTAAAACTTTCTTTTTTTAATGAAAATAAAAATTAATTTTTAGGTATCACCCTTAAATGTACAGTTCCCATATGGTCTTAGAATGTTGTCGTTATTTGTGATTAAAAGGCTTTCATATTCTATATTTGCATATACTCCATATAAAGATTCCATCCCAATTTAGGTATTTTGTAGATTCTAGCTTCATATTCCAAGCGATATGACTATAAATAAACAGGTCGGAATTTCATAGGATCTATGCAGGTCAGAGTTCTAACATAGCTCCCACATAAAGTTATGTTAAATATCATATTGAATTTTGTAACCTAAGTATTTGTAATTTGGTATTTCGTTTACTCAGAGGACATAATCGACATATAATTGTGAATGGTATAAAAAGTTCGGGTAGGTCGAACTTAGCGACACTTTCGTCGTAGCCCATTGTGGTTAAATTTCAACCCAGCCCAACGCAAAATGATCAAAATTAGTTAATATTATCAACATACCTTTGCTCATACAACAATATATAATATTTGAAAAATTAATTATAGATTTGGATTTTGAACTGACCTACCTTTGGATTTGTATACAAATACGGTATGCAATAAAATCATTATGGAGGTGAGAATGGAAAATTCCTTATGCAGATGAGGATAAGGACAAAATCGTCAAGTCGTGATGAGTTGTTTTGCTAATAACTTTAAAGATCATGAAGAAAAATCTTTATATTTTAGTTTGCTCGTATTTCAGATTATTTGTATACCCATATCACACTGTGGTACAAGGCATTATATCTTTGATCATATGTTTGTAACAGGCAAAAGGAAACGAGATAGACCTGTGGTTCCTTTTGACAATACACACAGAATTAGATTCTGGGTAGATGAATTTATATCGCATATATTTTTTCCTTCGTCCTATATATCGAAATTTGGTATAGAGTACTAAATAAGAATGATGTGTGCTACGTTTCGTAAAAATCGACACATTTTTATATATAGCTCCCATATATATTTTCTTTCGATTTTATGTAAACTGCACACCAAACACCTAATTGTCTGATTGACATGAAACAACGTTATTGCGTTTTTATACCCTTCACAGTGGTACAGGGTATTATGTCTTTGTGCATATGTTTGTAACAGGCAAAAGGAAACTAGATAGGCCCATGGTTCCTTTTGAGAATATGCATAGAATAACTTTCTGAGTCGATTTATGCATGTCCGTCTGTCCGTCCGTCCATGTATTTTTGTGAACAAAGTACAGGTCGCATTCATGATTCGATTTGGATGAACTTTGGTACATGTCACTTATTTGGCCCAAGGACGAACCCTATTGAAATTGGAGAAAAGCGGTTCAGAATTAGATATGGCTCCCATATATAGTTTCGTCCAATTTTAGGTAAATGGTGCACCAAACTCCCAATATTGGTCCGATTGTGACAAAAATTTGCACAGAGTATTGAATTAGGTCTTGATTGATACACGTCAAGTTTAGTTAAAATCGGTTCAGATTTAGATATAGCTCCCATATATAGATTCGTCCGATTTTAGGTAAATGGTGCACCAAACTCTCAATATTGGTCCGATTGAGACAAATAGTGGTTGAATAGTGGTTTAAGGGTCAAAATTTCAATTAAAAATCTCAAGAACTCTTGAAAATATAGCCGATTTATTGTGTAAGCATCAAGTGACGGCTAAAGGGCTTCTCAAACTTTAAACGCGTTTTTCTCTTTTGCGAATGGCGGGCACGATAATCGATTCCAAATTTGTACACGTTTCTCTGGGAGTGTATAGCTATCGTATGAACTAGGATAAATCCAATCGGTGAAGATCTTCTTTTTTTAACTTGGTTTTTGGTCAAAAATTGGCGATATTCCAAAAATATTTTTTCAAAGGTCCGCCATTTTGTTAATTTTAGAGGGAAATCTAGTTCATACGAGAGCCAGACATGTACTCTTTCTAACACCGTTATATATATCATGCCCGCCATCAAAAATAAGGACTTTTCTTTAATAACAAAAAAAAAAAAAAAAAAAGAACCAACAACAAAACAATAACAAAAAATGTTTGCAAATTATTTTTCTTCTCTTTTAAATCTTCAAATATATATGTGCAAAGTTACAAACCTTAACAAGGATTGGTATTGATTTACCAACCCATTGAAAATCTTGAAAAATTAAAATCGAGAATGGTTGGGGTTCCCTTAAATCGACTTACATAAATTTGTCCCATTGTACGCAAACGACTCTAAATTTGCCCCAACGAAATGAAATTTAGCATAGGTTGCGGAAGGGTATTGTGTATGAATTGATGTTAGTCGGTTCACTTATAGATAATGATTACGTATTTATCATTCAATTTCATGTCAATGTTCCTTCGAAATGGCGAAGTCTGTTAGGACACATATGTGGAATATACCTACAGTGGTGAAGAGTATCACAAAGTCGATCCAGTCCGACTTAACTACCTTCCTTACTGGTTTTGTATGTCGACTATTTCATTCCGTCATTCCGTTTGCAAACACATCAAAATATTTATCAGAGAAAAATCGATTATCGATCTTTACAGGATCTTTCTTACTCGAATAAATTTTGTTGATGTGTTTAGTATAATGAAAAAAATGTTGACAGCAAAAATTAATCGCGACATAACTCCAAAACTTACCTATGGCAAAATTTTCATTCTGGGTTCTCAATAAATTCGCTAATAGCTTTTATCTACATATCCCCGCTTTTGTGACACAATGTTATATTTTGGTCAAGATTAGTTAAAATACCACTTTTGAAAAATTACTTATCGTCTTGGATTTTGGAGTGATCATCTGAAATACATTTGAACTTTTACACAAAGAAATCAGTTTTGTTACGACCTTAATTTAAATTATTTAATATATCTTTTTTTTGTACTAAACATTAAATCGAACAAATAATCCATCCATATATAGGAACTTACATTTAAACTAGTAATAAAACAAATGACGAACACATATTTAAAAAATACTAACAGCCTAGGATACAATAAAAGCTGGGTGGCATCGCTACGCCACACTGGATAATTTGCAAATGTTATTCTATGCAAGTCTACCACAACATGGTATTAATATAATAAATTCAACAATTATATTTACAGAATTTAAAAATTACTTAATTTACACCACCACCTTCCAATTCCCCCTCCGCTTCATTAATAATTCGTATAATATGGCGATTGATGACATTATCAACATTATGAGCCATGGGAAAGTCCATGTGGGAAAATCCTTTCAAATCAATAAAATGTTTAACACATCTATCGCCCAAAATGCCGCTGAGTTTTTCAACATCCGTTTTTGCTGAATAATCATCAAAATCACTATAAAATAAATGAAATGGAAAACGGGTTTGTATTTTCGATAGGTCATAATCTGGCGGGGTAGATTGATTATAACGTTCCATATTCCCTTGGCTACCAAAATCATAGCGACGAAATTTTCCCGAAACATAGAGCTGGAGAAAGTGTATGGCCTGATGCGTGGAGGCCGGCGAGGGATGTGTATTAAACAATTCCGGATAAAGGAACTACAAGGGAGAGAGTGGGAAAAATACATTTGTTAGATATATTTTTGAAAATTTAAAGTTTTCTACACTTACCTCTTTCACATAGCTTGACCGTCCACCAAAGAACTCTCCCGATAGAAATAAGCAAAATCGTGGATTGGCCTCTTTGCGGCGACACCATTCAAAACCCATTATGTAACGTAAAATTTTCGGTTCAAATATCTCCCTATCCCCAATTATGGAATTTAGACGGCTATATTTACCCAAAAATGGCGATAATATTTTCATACTAAATGATCGTGCCGATGTCATATAGCTAATGGGTGCCAACATATGGGTAGTTTTAAATTTCTGATTATATTCCGGTTGTGTTGACAACAAGACCATTGCAATTGTTGTACCCTGAGAATGTCCGATATAATGCAATGCCGTTTGTTGAGTTTCATTTAGTATATAATCAATTGTTGTGGGTAAATCTATGGTACCCAGTTCATGCCATGAGAAACGCCAAAATTCTCTATCGTTGATGGTATAGTTCAAATGTTGACTGCCATAGGTATTGCCACGACTATTACCCAACCAAACATCATAGCCACGATCAATCAATTCGAGAGCTAGATTATGTGAATGATTACGTATAACCCATACATCTGAGGAGCTCGTCAGGCCGTGCATCATGAGGACGACAGGGGCATGGGATTTGGTTGTTTGGGAATCAATATTTTTTGCTGTTGCGTTTTTTATTCGAAATATGGTCAGCCCATAACCATCAGGAGTCCATATTGTATGTGTTTCACTTGAATAGCCAGCATATGCAATACGATCAGTCTAAAAGAGAAAAATGTTTAAAATATATATAATTAATAAGACAATTAGCAACAAATATACCAAATATGGGACAAGACCTTTATGAAGATATACCAGTTGCGATATTTATTATGATTTCGATGGGTAGGCCTATAAAGGGACAACCCTGACCAAGAATATATAATATATTGGATTTTCGATTAATTGAATAAGATCTCTACAAAAATTCAGACTACAATCCGAAAATGATATTTTCAGATCTTTTCAGAGCTTCCCAAAACGAACCCCATTAAGATAAAAACACATTAAGAATTGCCACATGATTTAAACCGGTTCCAAATATAAATTGTTATGTAACCTAATACAAAGTTTTTAAAACATAATTAGTGTAGGACCGTTTCTTCACATTAGTCCCAAATAACGACAACGCTTATCTACTTCGACCCAAACCATGTTGTGGGGGTATTAAAGCTTTGTGTGGCCCACGAGTTTGAAAAGCCCTGAAATGTTGGTCCTAGACCCAACTTTTAGTATGCCGATCAATATCTCGACCAGCTCAGTCGATTGTGTCCGTCCGTCTGTCCATGGATCGCTACGAAATTTTGCATGTAGGACCGGTTCCGGCCAAAGAAGAACCCTATCTTTTTCGTTTTTATCAAGAGGATAAACTGAACCAAAACCTATATATTTATCTCTTTTTCTGGTCGCTCCAGAGGTCGCAATTATGAGGCCAACATCTCGAATCTTACATGGAAAGGGGCACCTGGCCAAAGAATAAGCATGACTGTTTTGATAAAGATTGATCAATATTTACATGGTAAATGGACTTTTGTGTGAAAAAATTACAATTTGTGCATTCTATGACCTACATATTACCTCCTGAAGTACATAGACCCGACAAGTTGATAGTAAATGCAAGAGGAGCGGTTGACCTTTAATTTTATACCAATTAAATATAGACAGCGGCTATCAAATCTGATATTGATTAGAATTACCATAACATTAGAGCGCGGAGATATTGCGCTGACCGCTAGGGGATTTTGCATGCAATTTTCGTTGATACAATTTTCGTTGATAATTACATGATATTTCAGGGCTGAAATTGACCGAAAGCTTTATTTTTTTTCTGGTATTCTAGTCATTCTAGACTCCACAGTTATATGCCAACTTTACAAATCTTCTACATTAATGTGTATGCCAGTCTTCAATAACCCTTTTTACCAGATAAAAGCTAAATCCGATAGAGGCTTCAAAGTACCGAAAATGGGGTGGTGCCGTTATACCAAAATATAAGCCCATGTTGATCATTAATTTTGGTAGGATGATTCGGCACCCCATTTTATTAATTGGTTGAATCACGTGACTAAATTCAGAAATCTAGTACCAATCATGTTGAAAAAAGTGGCCAAAAGCTTCAAAATATAGGGTAAGTTGGGGGACAGTTATATTGGGGCTACATTAAAAAATGGACCAATATTAGTCATTATTAGTATGAACATTTTCTACCCAGGGAGATCCCAAAATACCAAATTACAGATTATTAGGTTGAAAAACGGTCACAAAAGCATGATAAATACAGAACTTTGCTATTGCTCCTCAAAAAAGTAGACCTTTATATTTAATTTCCAATACCAAATTACTAGGAGTAGGTTTGTACTAAATTTTAGAGCTCTATCTTAAATATTTCACTTAAACAGACCGGCGTGAATACATCAACATCGAATTTCATACTGATCAAGAATATTTAATATAATTTTCCGACGAATATTTTAAGGTGTTGCAAACGTAATGACAAATTTAATATTGATACACTATACCTTATATCGGAGGGTATAAAAACACGAATTGTATTTACCCATTCGTAGCTCTTAGTGGATAGGAACTGTTCTGTCAAAACAAATTGTCATAAAGGTACTCCATATTTACAAGATTTTGATATCTCTTAATGGGTAAGAAACTCTCATTTATGGATCACATTTTTGGAATAAGAATCCTCCGATTTGGTGTGTTCGTATATTTTTCATACGAAATACAGTGGAGTACGTTTAGCCCTAGCCTTACCCTTACCAAAAACATAAGCCAATATTGATAATCTTTTATTGGCCGAAGTAGATACAAAATATTTACAGCTAATCCTGTTGAAAAACGTGTCTATAACTCCAAAATACAGAATAATGGGGGGTACCGTTATATGGGTCCACAAAAAACTTGGACCAATATTGATGATATTCACCAAAACAAAGTCGTATATATTTTTCACAATTCAAGAACACGGAATTATAAATGACACTCACTAAAACCTTCAGTTTTTTATAGAAAAAATTATGGATAAATTTAAATCTAATATACCCTAAATCAAAAATGCTCCTTTAAATTTTCAAGTGAAAGTCTCAACAATCCTCGAAAATATAGCCGCGTGCTCGAGAGTGTATTTCTCCAAGCAGTGTTTATACGTTTATCAATTGTTTTCAATGTTCGATGGACGGACATGCGGATACGTTTAAATGATCTAGTAATTGAACCGTAATACAGAATACATTGGTTTAGTCAGTATGTATTAACACTAGAACGCCGAAGGCAGTCATTTTGACCGCTTTCCAATTTCAAGTCCAAAAGCAACTGTGCATTTAATGACACTTTTTTTAAAATTTGGTGACTTTTTGTACCTCATAGAATTACGTTTATTATAAAAAAATCATCAAATTTTAAAAAAAAGTGTCATTAAATACACAGTTGCTTTTGTACTTGAAATTGGAAAGCGGTCAAAATGACTGCCTTCGGCGTTCTAGTGTTAATTATCTTGAGCATTTATAAAGGAAGTAAAAAACTTATTGAACCATGTTGCACTATATAAAAATATAATCACCAGCAATAATAGTCCCTGTTTTGCTTCACGTTGGTAATTCATTGTCGTAATTTTATTCTTAGTGGCAATTTTTAATAACAAATCGATTGATGTTATGTTGATCGTGGTCCATTCAAGTACAGAAATCTAACATTGGACTTCATAAAACACTTGCTAACTTACCGTATTTACTATTTCACCTTCATTCTTTGACCAAATGGTAAATATTATTAATGGTATTAGCAAAAGATTTAAAAATATTAAAGTTTTTCCCATTGTCAAAACGAGACAAGAAAATAAAAACACAAAACAAAAATCACTTCTAGTCAGACGGAACACTTTAACAACAATGACAGTGGCAACAAAACTTGACCGTTTTGTTGATATTGAAATTTAGTTCCAAGCTAATAAAAATAGAGAAGAAGAACAAGAGAGGGAGCGATCAAAACAAAACAAATTGTTGTCGTCTAGGTCTAGCGACCGCTATGATTATTGTTGTTGCGTATAAACCAAATGGAACGCACTACCGATCAATCACTACAGGTGGTGGTAGCTCATCTTACTAACCACACAAACTCTTTGGTTTCTTCTACCACACGATCTATCTCTCACACATTGACTCTCTCGTTCGTACATTCGCTCTCACTAATCCAATTGAAACGTCTGTCATTCCATCTCAGTGCATTTTTAATCGTACAACAACCAGCCAACTAGAAATAACAACAATAGCGACCTTTAATCTAATTTATACATGTATTACAAAAACAATAAATAACAACAACAACAATAACAACAAAGGAAAACAAGTTCTAGTATGAATGAAACGTAAAAAGAAAGTCTGAATACAACAACAGCAATAACATTAGCATACATATTAATTGGTTAATAGAAGAGTTTTTGTTTATAAGAAATATAAACACTGATATGTGAGTACGCACAGTATTAAAATCGAACAGGTAGGTGTTATACCGTTCATCGCACAGTGATCAAAATCAATGTGTAACGAAAAATATTTTATTCGAATTCTACAATATTTGGGCGAAAGGGAACGATATCTGCCTGTAGTTTTACGTGCCTAAACCGCAGCATATTCATGTTAGAAAATATATTATATGCAGCCTTTAAATACCATATCTAAATCGGTGATCATAAGGAATTGACCTATATAGTCCACATTTTACTCGCATACACATTTTTGCCAACATAATATTTCACAATTTTGGTCTCTGATTCGTAAATGACCACCTACATCACGTAATGCGCGGAACTATATTCCACTTAAACTTACTTTAGAAAAATCTAATTATTCCGTCCGTTTGTGATGTATATAATAAACTGTATAATCATATTCCTTTTGATTAAACTATAGAAATAATAAATAGCTTCTTTATAACTTGTTGCTTGTCTTTAAAAAGTGAATTTTAGTATTACCGGCTGAATTTAATATAGCCGGTAGTTACCCACCTTTACAACCCTCCAAAGTCCAGACTATGGAGTGTACGTGCTCCTTACGTCATGAGGAGGTGGCCTCCTCGGTCGGCAGGGGAGGGCAAAACGAAGCGCGGGAACGATCGAAAAAAATATAAGTTTATGACAAGCTGCATTATCCCCCGAAAGGGTCACTTTCTCCTTACTAGCTTTAAATTTGGAGTCCAGCTCCTCCATAACGTTGATCCATATATGGGAAGTCATCCATGCTTTGGCGTTAGCAAAATATTTCACTGGAATTGGGATTGATGTTTTAAAAAAGCGTGGAGTTTTAGTTTTTCAATTTAGAAGAAGGAGTTTCCCTATTTAGAAGATTTTTTCTGATTTTTTAGCCGTTCCAGCCGTTAGGTCGTTCCAGACTTTAATTTCTATGATATTTCTTTTTTTTCCAAAAATAAGGTAAAGTAAGGCATATTTGCCGATCCCTAAAAAAAACATTTGTTCAATTTAAAAAATTCACATAAATTCATAAATTTGTTGTTTAAATAGTTTTAAGTTAGTTTCTAATGTTAATTTAAAACTATGGTTTTATAAACAAAAATGACCAACATGACGATCAAATACTTTTACACAGGGTGACATGACAAATATTTTTTTTATAAAGCTGATCATTTCTAAAGCATACTTTCAGGAGAGAGGAGTTATTTTTAATCTTCAAATTTTATAGGGTGATTCTAATTAAAAACCA